TTACATATCATACACTAATATTGAATTGATATTTACTGAGCATTCTATTCAATATATCTTCACAGAGATAACAGATGATAATACATTTAGACCATGTACATTAATTTTGATTATGGTTTGATTAGTGATTTTGGCAGTTACTGGAAAAGTTATAAATGTACTGTATTATGCAGTCTCAGATCAGCAGTTAAATAGTGTTATTAGTAGATTGCTTTTAGTAACAGGTATTGGCATAGCTAATTTCATGTAGCCTATCAGTTACTAGTGTTTCAATTTTCACTAGTTAGTCAGTTAGCTGTTTATAATGTAGTCTTTCGGAAGGTACTGAATATTTTCCCTGAATGTTTTGTTGCAATATAATGCAGTATCTGTGATTTCTGCTGGTATTAATGAGTATTAGGTCGTCCTAATATTTCACTACCTGGTTCTGTGTTGTTGTACCGATGTTTTTTGAGTTAACAGATCTTTGACATCCAGTACTCTGCAGAGAAGTATCATATACTCTAGTCATCGTATCCAAGCATGACTTAACAATGCTCGTGTATAATGATCATTGAAAAAGACTGTAAAGCATTTATTACTATTTGGAATGTTCATGTGAATCTTTTCTAAATGAATATTTTTTACCAAAATGTTTTACCACTAATGAATGTTCTTCATAAAATTTGTTAAGGTGAATAAAGTATTTTGTAACTACATGTTTAATTTTATTATTCCCTGCATACAAAGCAAAACAAAATTTCATATAATCCAAACTTTAAAACTAAGACACTTGTAAGAAACTTCACACACCTCTTTCAAGTTTGAAAATCAACATGTTATCACTGGATGATGCATAACAGAGGAATTATGAGACTGTAATTGTATTGTAATTGTATTATAATTTTCCTCCTCTTTGTAATTTCCTCTTTCCCCCTAAATGGTTTCTTTGTTAATATGGAGACATCATGTAGCTGAGAATGATTTATCAATTCTTGTACTTTTGTCTTTTTTCAGTAAGACATTAAATATTATAAAGTTGTAATATAACATATCTGTGCAAGGAATGTAAAGGACTTTCAACACTGCTTTATATTTTAAGAATGTAGTACAGAAAGATTAACTAACTCATTGGGACAGATGTCACACACATGTGACACTTGTAAATGAGCCAGATGCCAGGAACCACACCTGTGCCATACTTCCTAACTATCCTTCAGGTGTCATCAATGTTTGATATGTGGTCATTCATGCAGACTTGATATTGAGTGCAGGAACCTCCCAATCCCTTGCTTCTTCTTGTCATGGGGAGCTTAGGTGATGGGGACTGAGGCCCAATGTAGGGAATGATCTCTACCTCAGACCTCAGCCCTTGCTTTGCCTGATTTTGCAGGGTCTTTTCTTCTCCCCCTTCCCTTTTCCTTCTCTTCTTCATCCCATTTTTCTGTCCTTCCTTTTTACCCTTTCCACCGCAATACTTTATCATAAGGTTCTATGATCTTTGATGTGCAGCAAGTTAGTTTTAAGCATTAACCATTCACAGAATCCACAATCATCAACTTTTGAACCAAAAAGCTTTCTTCCCTGGGGGCTTTTCCCCACACTATTGCTATATTTTGAATATGCTGCTAATGACCTTAGATGTTGATGTGGCAGAAAATGCAGGGACAGTGCTTATTCACTGCTTGTAAAAAAAAAAATTCTTTCTTTCCTTTTTTTTAAGTGCAAAAATGAGATTTTGTATTTTGTATTTTGGAAGTCTGTACTTTCTCAAGCATGACAATCATAAAAATGTAGGAGTATAGGGACCAACCCTTATCATTGGACAGTGTGATGAAATCCGACAGTAAACATCCCCTTCTGCATGTATAATGTAGGGTGAAAGGAAGGAATTTTTTATATGAGGTACTTGCTTTCAAATAAAAATTAAGGTTTCATATAATAGTAATATAATTTTGTCAAAACTTATAAAGAACTCAAATCTTGATCCAGTATTTAAGTACTGATTTGTACATGAGTAATTTATGATACCAAACCATAAAGACAAATTTAATATGCATCACATTAGCAAGACTGTACAACTAATTTTGCTAGGAATATCAAAGCTGCTTGAGTTGTGTATGTTGGCAAGCAGAATATGAAAAAATCTTAATGGCAGTAAGCTACAATGAATCTGGAGTTTATTCTTAAAGGTAATGGTCAGTCCAACTTTTATTTCTTAAATCATTTTCATTGTTATCATTATATAATTACCATCAGTGATCAAATCTAATATGATAAGCAATTTTGATGAAAAACACCAAGGAATCATACCAAGCCAAATATCCAAACTAAGGGATAAAAAAAAGACTTGGTGACATTGGAATAGCTAATTGGCTGCTGCTGCTATAGATCTGATGCAGAATCTTTTTTCATGACAGATAGACACTGGATGGAAGAGAGAGAGAGAGTAAGTGAATGAATATGAGAATGATAGGAGGAGTGAGACAGAAAGAAAGCAAGCATTAATAAATCAAAGAGAAAAAGAATGTAATTGAGAGAGAATGGAGGAATGAATGGTAGGGGGGAGGAAAGCAAATGAATGCATGAGGGAGAAACAGAAGGAATGAAAGATCTGTAAGTGGTGGATACTTCTTAGGAACACATAATCAAAAGTATTTATCAGATTATATTTCTTTGTTAATAGAATTAATGGTATGATGCCAGATTTTTGGGAAATAAAGGACTAATCTTTCAGCTCGCCATTCACCTTAGATATGATTTTTCTTTATTTTTTGTTTTTTGTTGAAACAAAAGGCATCAACAGAGATCAGTGTGCTTAAACTTCCCATACTCAACATGAAATTTACTAATTTTCCTGCTACATATTTACAGTATATAAAAGGTATTGGAAGTAAAACTAAAAATCAAGTATATATTTTCATCACTGTTATAGGAATAGAGCTGTCTCAAACAGATTTCATAAAAAAATAATAAAAGTAAATATATAGATACAATCAGTAATGAGGGCCTTTTCATATATAAAGCACAAGTTGGTTAGATCCCCTCCAAATATCATGAAAACAATGCTAGTGTTAGAAACATTATGTGTTAAGGTAAATATTTAAAAAAAGATATTTAAAAAATGCAATGCACAACCTTGAAAAAAACAAAATTTCTCTTGGTAGGATCAGTCAGATTATGAAAAAATAACATTAAAACTACAGTTCCTAAAGCCTTATAGGTGTAATGTTCCTAACATCAATATTTATTTACAGAAAAAATTCTGCCACATCAACATATAAGGTCATTAACAGTGTATTCAAAATACAGTGATAGCATGAGGTTTGAGGTTAAAGCCCCAGGCAAGGAAGTGCTCTATGACATCAAAGGTCATATGGCACTATGGTAAAGTAGCAAAAAGGGTTAGGAACGAGTTATTGATTAGACTAAAGTTACAGGTTGAACAGTGCTAAAGGGTAGAGAAGGGGAACTGATGAGGCATAACATAAAAGTTAAGGTTGTTAAAAGGGGAAGGTGTTAAGCCTAATGGCTATTTAATAATCACAACATCAGTAACAATAATAACAGTATCGATAGCAATGTTATTAATTTTCCCGCTAATTCAATGAATGGGAAAATCAGGGTCGGTAACTAGGGCCTACTGATAGACTCCTTGCCGGCTGAGTACATGTGGAGCCATCTGTATGTAACAAAATTCACCAAAAAATACAGAGGACAGAACATAAATCCGGGGCGAATGGGTTAAGTGAGTATGGAGCCTTATGATAAAGTATTGTGGCGAAAAGGGAAAAAATGAGTTTAATGATTAGGATAAGTGGGCAGAACAAGGGGATGAAAGGAAGGAAAAGGAAAGGAGGAGAAGAAAAGAACATGCAAAATTAGTTGGGGAGAAGGCTGACTTCTGACTAAATGCATGAAAAAAGGAAAAGGGTAAATAAGTGAGACAGGTAGTAGTAGTAACTGACTACTTGGTGATTAAGCACTTGTGGAACTATCCACTTATAATTGCAATTAATAAACAAAAATGGCCCATTAGCAATGGGTCAGTTGGTTTGTTCTTTAAGATTAATTTTTTTTTTTTGTTTACACAGATCTTAACTATACCTGTCTTTTACTGGGGTTGCAGTCATGACTAAAATTGCATGACTGGGGTTGCAAAGAAAAAAAGCTAGGAACCACAGCCCTAAGATAAATCCAAGCATTGGTTTCTGATAAAACACAACATAGAATCTTAAAACTTTTATTAGCATTATGTCAGTGATAATACACTTTCATAGGTAACTGAAATGTAAACAACAACTACAATTTCAACAATAAAATTCTAATTATCAAAACTAATATAAATGAAAAATGTCCACAAAACTAGACTACAAGTAATCTATATAGAAATGAACAGAGCTTAGGAAATGTATTAAAAATAGACTCTGTAAGTACTTAACATTTCTCAAAAAATATAGGTTCTCTGATAATGTTCTCTTGACATTATTAGCAGTCAAATTTCACTCAAATATATTAAATAAAAAACAAGAAAAAAACATCAAATTCAACTATGCGGTTGAATTCTGATTGGAATGTCATTGGAATGGTCTACATTCAAACCATATAAGGCATACAAAACAACCATATAATATACAAATAAAACTATCACCATAATTTTCACAACTGTGATAAAAATCGTTATGAATGAGAATGAATTATCTTGTAAGATAAGCTATGAAACAAACATTTCAATATTAAAACTGGACCAGAATTAATAACTGATGAATTTAATATGAAAATCTTAAATTTATACCTTGCTATCTGGAATATATTCATTCTCCTTCATACCTTCCTGATATTTATTCCAAAGAATTTTGTACAATTGTGTGGTATGACAAGCTGCACAAGCAAACCTAAACCAGCAAGTGTTAAAGCACATTTAAAATAGTCTAAATTCACTTATCTCTTAAAGAAAAGAAAAGAAAAGAAAAGAAAAGAAAAGAAAAGAAAAGAAAAGAAAAGAAAAGAAAAGAAAAGAAAGAAAGAAAGAAAGACAGAAAGAAAGAAAGAAAGAAAAGAAAGAAAAGAAAGAAAGAAAGAAAGAAAAGAAAAAAAGGAATAAAAAAACAGGAAACAACAATAATCTTTGAGCAAATCACTCGACCAAATACAAAGTATCCATGAAGTCCATTAAGTCACTAATGAGTTTTGATATTTTCAGTGTTCTTGAGCAGCTACTTGTGTATCCTAAGGACACCACAGTAACTTTGGACAAGTACTTGCTGTTCAATCGCTGTTTTTTCTAGATCTTTGACTTTTGGGCCTTGCCTGCAAAGATAATAAATAATATCAGATGTCAATCACACATTCTGACTAACTTAGTTAAGTCATATGTATATATTGGTAATGAGGGTGCTATATCCTTGAATATGTCTTATGATATATATTATGCACATGCAAAAAGGAAAGAGAGAGAAAAAAATTAAATATATAAAAAGAAACACTACCCAATGAGAAATAAAAATGAATGTAACATTGATTTTCAGTATAATTAAATCAAGATAAAACAAAGCACTTCTTCAACACACCTGTGGCATCTGCCAGAGCCTCCTTCATTATCCTGAGCACCAAATCTACATTCTCAGGGGTACAGTTGTAGCCCATGAGACCAACACGCCACACTTTCCCTGCAGATGGGCCAAGTCCTCCACTAATCTCAACTAGGTAGCTATATGAATAAAGAGAGAGAGAGAGATATAAAGCATTAGTTTACATCGAAAAAGAGGAAAAAATAGTGGTAAAAACATTTCAAAATACATGACATATTAATATATTATTTCAAGTCATATTTAGAAGACCATCAACACTAATGCATGTATGGTATATGGTATAACAAAATATGATAAGTTTTTGGCTCCTAAAATATATCTTATGCCCCAAATAAGTATATACATTTACTCAGTTATACAAAGCATAATCAAAATAACTTCTTTACATTTACTACAGTTTTTATTTAAATATCTCTATGCAAATATACATAAATTGCTGTAAAATTAATTTCAACACAGATATTAATTGGCTACTTACTGCCACAATAGTGGGTATACTATACAATAATAGTTATACTATATTATAATCATGCTTCTAAATTCTTAAACATAGCTACCAGTAAAACAAAAAGAACAACAACAACAATATCAACAATCATTTCCATTAATATTAACACTAACAGCAAAAAAAAATTCCCTTACTTTGACATAAAGTACTTGGTGACTCTGGTCCAATCGACCCCTTCAGGAACACGGACAGTCGACACTGTGGGGGTCCTCTTCTTGGGGTCGGACACGTACATCTCTAGACCAAGGGCACCCAGACCCTCGTGAAGCTTCTTGGCACAGGCTTCGTGTCTCGACCACAGAGATTCTAGGCCTTCTTCGCAGACTATTGCTAGAGCTTCCCGGAGAGCATACACGGCACTGATAGGACCCGTGTGATGATATCTAGAGTGAAGCCAAAAAGGATTAGAATTTTTTTCTTTCTTTTTAATATTTGCAAGATTTAGATAATTGTCCTCCTGTCTATTCATTTTGATTCATCAATTACTTTATTCCTAAACAATAAGACAATGCAATGGCAATGTGTATGTAGATGTATATATAGATATAGGTAGACAGATAAACAGATAAACTAATAGGTGGATAACAGATACAGATACACAAATGTAGATATCTCTCTGATGAAACAAACTTCTACAAAGAAAATTATTTGTAATAATACATCTAATTTCATATTTTCTTACCAGTGATAAAGCAATGGTACATAAACTTTAACAAAGAACACGAAAGGTAATATTGACATACTTGCGAGGTGTGCCATCACAGCCCCAGTAATTGGCCAGCCAAGTCATGTCGGAGTAGAAACTTCTGATTGGAGTCTTTCTGGACCGTACTTTAGCCCTGGGAAAATCAATCACAATTATAGTATTTACTTCTTTCTTTGTTAGTGAAGAACAGTGTTCTAACTGCTAACTAGATGTGGGGTTTTCTGTCCACTATCATGGAAAGGAACATATTTTATCAAACAAACAATTATTAATCATTTAATAACAATATCAATCAAATTAAGATGAGCTTGTGTATATTGGTTGAGTGCTTACTAAAATAAAGTATTCCTTTAATAGTTAATAAAAATCCAGCAAAAACATCATGACTTTCCAGGCAGTACAGGAGTCAAAGTTACATGCACACTAATATGATAATACTAAAATAGCACAAAGAAAGGATGGTCGTCCACAATGTTTTTAATGATATCTGCTTGAATATAAGAGAGATCACAGCAAATAACTAAAGAGGAATAAAAACAGGAACAACAGTAAATGACTCCATAATCAACTTACATCGCCCTGTCATTAAATGCGATTGGAGCCATGGAAGGAGGGGCTGATATCACTTTCTGGGTTCCTGTGTAGACCACATCAATATCCCAACCATCCATGTAAAAAGGCACACCTCCCAATGATGCCACACAGTCTACAGCAAGCAGGGCACCATGTCTGAAAAAAAAACAGTGTTCTATTAAATATCCTAGAAGCTGACAATCAATTTTACTCTTTCATATACATACTCTATGATGATAAGAGAAGATTAAAGAAATTTTACCTCCTTGTTACATACTGCTTCAAGAAATCTTTGCCATTAAATAACTTCTAGCTTGAAATTTTTCCAGAATGTATATATAAAAAAACACACTTCTAAAGGGGAAACTGTCACATCTCTGCCATTAAATAACTTCTGGCTCGAATTTTTTTCAGACTATATGTATAAAACCCCCCACACTTCTAAAGGGGGAAACTGTCACATCTACAGCTTAACACATGCAAGCTCTACCTACTTTCTACACAAAGCTCCTGCTCCCTCTAACGGCTGCAAGACCCCTGTTGATGACTCTCCCTGGACCATAAAGAGGACGGCAGGTTTGTGTTGAGCGAGGGCGGCATCTAGCTCCTCTAGGGTAAAGGTATCTCCTGGCTTCTCGATAATGCGTACATCAGCATCTAACAGTTAATCAAAGATACTCATGCTTAGGCCCATGCATACAGAAGCAATATTATCAAAAATAAAAGTAATAACTACTACAAATCAAATAAAATATTAGTAAAATAAAAATAATAAATACAATAATAAACCAAAGGCAATTCAACAATATTTACAAACAGTAACTAAGTAAATAAATAAATTTAAAAAATAAATATATAAAACCAAATGCAATTCAACAATATTTACAAACAGTAACTAAGCAAATAAATAAATAAAAAATATATATATAAAACAATAATCATAAAAATGATATAAAAAATGAATTTCTCTCTCTCCTCTTTCCATCCACATACTTTCTTCCACCCTTACCGTGTCTCCTGGCCATGTCAGCCGCCCTCTCCCCCCAAATGCCATTCTGGGCAATGAGAATCTTGTCACCAGGTTCCAAGAGGTTACACATAGTGGTCTCCATGCCGGCGTGTCCTGTGCCACTCACGCAACACACAACCTCTGTCTTGGTTTGAAATATGTACCGCAGCCCTTCTTTAACTTCGTCCATGATCTGTTTTTATTTTGTGTGAAAATAAGAAAGAAAAAAAAAAAGGATTTAGGAGGAGAAAGAGAAGCCAGGAGGCAGGAAGAAAGATTGTATATGACTTTGAAGCATTCATTGAATAATGGAAATGTATGCATACAATTAACATAACCTCAATATTTACTGAAAGGAAATATAACCACATAACTATGTTCATACTAACATTTGCTAATTGGAAATATATGCACATAATTTGCTTAATATCAGAATTTACTAAAAGAAAATATAGACTCATGATCATCTTAACAAACATTTAGTAAAAAAGAAAATGACATACATTTGTCTGAGCAATAAGTCACAAAACAAAAAATAATAATTACTTGAGTAAACTCCGGATGCAGATGTCCCAAGAGAGGTTTCATCATAGCATAATGCACACGCAGGGGACTGTTGGAAGGGCCTGGTCCCATCAGGAGTTTTGATGGGACATTCAGGGGCTTTTGCAAGCATTCTGGCTGTGGTACATTCATCCTGTAACAGAAAACAAAATTCAATAAATATTAAAAGCATATTTGTTTGAAAGAAAAAAGCAAAAGAGAGACAGGTACTTTCCCATTCCAGTGCACTCCCAGGTAACTAACATAATCATGGGCTTGAAGTATTCTCTGAATATAGACTACATACTTTTTATCAGTATTAAAAAATATAATTATAATTATAATAATAATAATAATAATAATAATAATAATAATAATAATAATAATAATAATAATAATAATAACAATAACAGTAATAATAATAACAATAACAGTAATAATAATAACAATAGTAATAATAGTAATAATAGTAATAATGGTAATAATGATGACAATAAACAATAATAATAATAATAATAATAATAATAATAATGATAATAATAAAAAGACCTGAAATGATAATTACAGGCTTCCCCTTCCCCTGGATATGGAGTTGATCACACACCTTTAAAAGTATTCAACAAATAGACTCACATCCATTATATCAACCTAAAATTGGAGATTTAGTATATATGAAACTCTTCCCCTTCCTTCCCCATACAATGAATTAATTACCATTCTACTCCTTACACTAACACATGGAAATGAAGGAACTCAACCAGAAGAAACTGCCCCCCAAAAAGTACTGAAGAATATGATACAACTTCAATCTGGTTCCAACCAAGGTCATTTGTAACTCCTGTAATTAATATTCCATTCACGTCGTGTGGCTGGGACCAAGGTAAATGCAAGCTTTTACACTGTTGCCTGTTATTCCTGCCATCTATATGCTTTACATGTTATAACTGATATTTACACATTCAATGAATCACTTTACTTAATTTACACTAAGTAATTCTCTACACCATTTGCAATGTGTAGTTAATACCAATTCATGTTCTTAGTTTATTTACTATTTATGTCTTTTACTTGGTCCTTTATTTTTGTTTTTA